TCCAGAATCCGGCAAATGTGAATAAATTTTGTTATGTTTGAATGGTATCCGGGGTGGTACATAGTACATTAGTGTAATAACTATGTTGGAGGATTCTGAATGAGATCCCGAACTTCACCGATTGGTCTGAGTCAGTAGACTACGAGATCAGGTGGTGAGAAGTCGATGGGGGATGACTGGTGGCGCGCTCGGAGGGGTACTCCAGTATGAGTGATGAAGGGCGCCAGTAATCCTACTCTGTGTGGAGGGTGGTCAGAATGGTACTGCAGATATCGATCACAATGTGCCCACAGATGATAGCATCTGAGTTCGGGCATAGTTAGGGTATACTTCCGGAAGGTATCTTAGTGTGTTGATGATTTTGTAATTGATCATAATATATAATTATTACTTCTATATCTGTTTTATTATATCGAATGAGTTAATACTTACCCCTATTTTTCCATGTGAATGAGACTGCAATGATCACTTTTATGTGGGAGCAGATCAGGACTTGAGAGATGGAGATGTGACTACTGGACAACAGGGATAGTTCAATGGGATAGCTTCGAGGGAGCTACTTTTACATGTATATAATATATAAATAAATTATGTTACTATATTTTGAAGTTCCGTTAGTGAACTGGAATTCCAATCTATGTTACAATTATAGTAATATAATGTAAAATAGATGTTGTTATTTACTTATTTATTCCTTTACGAAGACATCATTATAGTAGCGATTTCTAGGATCGTTACAAATTGCATTATAAGTAAATAAAAACCAAAATAGTTAAATAAACGATATTTAAATACATAAACTTTAAACAATCAATCAATCAATAAATATATATATATATATATATATATATATATATATATATATATATATATATATATATATATATATATATATATATATATATTTTAGTGAAGAAACTGTACATATTGAAATAAATTAGTGAATAATGTATATTTTGTTCTCATATAAAAATTATTAATCCACTATTATTATTATTATTATTATTATTATTATTATTATTATTATTATTATTATTATTATTATAATAATAATAAAGTAGAAAAAAAACTTATAATAATTTATTATTATTGTAAAAATAGCGTGAGCATTTTATTTCATGGATCACTACTTAATGATTAAAATTACATTAATCTTTTTTTCAAAAGTTTCAATGACAATAAAATTTAAGTTAAATAATAAAATATATCAAGGAATACTTATAATTGAGTGGAAAAAAAATCTATATATTGTTTAATTCGAACAAAATAAATTTATTATTAATAAATATATAATAATGCTAGAAATCTTCCCTATTAGAAATAACTTACATTGACTTAACGTGTAACGGAATACATAATATCTAATAAATATTTTATTATAAAATGATTTTGACTGGTATGAAATTATATAATACTAATATGTGTATAACAAATAAAAACACTATATCTTATACTAATCCTACAGTTGAAATATAGTCTTTATATCTAAAATATCATATATTCTTATATATTTAGCATGATCTAAAATATCATATATTCTTGTATACTTAAAATGATCATAATAATCAAGTTTATAGAAAAAAAAATAAGGATAGATTAATTATTCAAATAATAATTGACCATTTAACTTATCATACATATAATATTAACTTACCATTTAACATCATATTAGTGACATCAAATTTTATCATATCCTAATTTCACATCATATTTATATTTGACTCATATAGACGCCTTTTGGAAGATCAATGTTATACTCAAAACTCAAATATTAACAGTTGTGGGTGATATTGAAACCAATATTGCACCAGATATTCTTTGCCTACTAGTCCCATTCTAGCTTCCCTTCCCACAGAGTAAAAATACTAATAACACTATCCGTCATCGTGCATCTTTCTCGTAATCTTAAGACAAGTCATCAATAATCTTCATTGACTCCTCACCTAATGATACCTTAGTCTACTTGACTGGGCTATTAGTGAACCTAAGATCTCATTGAATCCACATAAGCATAATAATAACCACACAAACATCACATAATACTTCCTTGGGTATTCACAATCACATACTTAGTTGATTATGGATCAAATTGCTAACTCGACTTAGCCTCATGTATACATAATATATATATATATATATATATATATATATATATATATATATATATATATATATATATATATATATATCAGTATTAACATCACCATATCATCTCTTAATTCATCATACATGTCATTTTCTTACATTTATAATAAGCTAAATTTGTTTTGGACTAAATACTATAATTGTATAGTTTTCTTATTTGACATTTACATACTCTTTTGGCCATAACTTTTACTGTAGATCTCTTTTTGAGCTAAAATTTTTATTTCATTAGATTCCTCGTTTCAAGGGATTCAATTTGGATATATGGAACATAAAATTTAGAATTCAAAGTTATTTTTCATGATTTTTAGAAGTTCAAATAGAAAACACCCCCGAGAATTTTGCTTAAGCTAAAATTCAACCGTATCAATTCTTTCTACTATCGCTTGAGTGAAGATAGAGATGACAAAACAGGTTACCCCACCCTGTTTTGGCATGCTCTACCACTGCCCTGCCAAAAACAGGACAAGACGGGTTGATCCACCATAGTCAAGACGAGCTAAAGATCCCATCCAGAAAATAATTTCTTGTTGTATAAAGATTTTTATATATTTAAAAAAAATATATCTTTAATTATATAAATCATTTTTAAGTTTTTATTTATTAATTAATATTTTTATTAGATAGATTAAAAAAATTATTATATTTATATGTCAAAATAAATAATTATAATTAATAATCTAAATTTAATTAATTAATTATTATAATTTAAATTATAATATTATAATATATTTAGATATCTCAATAATATAACAAAAAAATATAATATTTTTAATTATAATCATTTTTATTTTTATTTTAATATATAAATATTGTTTTAAAGCGGGCTAGCTCATCTCACATTGCTCTTGACCCACTAAATTGGCGGGTTGGGCAAGATGAGCCAAAACGGGTTGGCGGGTTAAAACCAGTAACTCGCCTCGCCACTTTTTAGGCAGGCGGGTTGTCGGCTCGCCGAGCCTAACTCGTTTTGTCATTCCTAAGTGAAGATAGTCTTGTTTGAACGAATATTGAACCGACTTGCGTCTCGCTTGAGCGAGAACCTCTTTCTTGAACAAACCGCCACCGTCTTAAGCCATCACTTCCAATGCCTTACCATCACTCAAGCGAATTTAGTCTTATTTAAGCGAAAATTGGCATGAGAAGTAAGACTTTTATGAGTTTCGTGCCTTTCCCCACCTCAATAGCCAAAATTATAACTCACTTGTATAACAATATATGTAATAGAAATATCATACAACACCAAAATACATAAATATTTTTTTTTACATCATACCAAGACATATATACATTCTTTTCAGACATATTATTACTTAGATAATCAAATTTCCTTACTTTGATATTTCTGAATGCTAACTTCTCCATATATATGTAGCCTTGATATATCTTACTATCTTGATTTCCTCCCTTAAACTTAGAAATAACCAAAATCATAAAAGAGAGAAAATAACTTTCAAAATTCTGTTTAGGCATAATTCCTCCTTGTCCCTTTAGCTTTCTCTTATCACTTTTAGTTCTAAAATTTAGTAGATTTTCGGTACTTTAAATTTAAAGAAAGTCTATAATATTCTATTCTAAATAGATGAATGATTATAAAAACTATTTATCTTAATCTTCTATCTATATAATTTTTCAAGTAATTGAATATACTTTTATATTTATAATTAAAATAAAATAAAAACTACATTATTACAGTACATGTGTATTTTTTTTTTAAGTAAATCAGTATTAGAGGCATGATTCAATATAAGAAAATAGATAAAATAAATAGTAGTAATAATTAATAAATTATTATTATTATTTATTTAACATTTGTTGTCTAGATGGATAATAATTGATAGTTAGTAAATTCTTTACAAAATTATGCAAATTAAATATTATCATTATCAATTATTAGTTTGAATAAAGCAATTGGAAATTGAATTTTCAAGGTATTTTACATGAAAAATGGCTAATGTTATATATTACATTAGCTTTGTTTAATTACATATATCTAACGTAGCATAGAAAAACAATTAAATTAAATTTTCAATAATTAATTAATATTTTTCTGAAAATGAAAGTAAATAACCTTTATTATTGAAACAAAAACTAAAGAAACAAAAAATGAAGTCGTACGTGACAAAGATAAATTATATCAAGAAAACAAAAATATTATCGTGCAAATAAGCAATACAATCTTTGAAAAAGATTGCAAAATTACGGTGGACAAAGTAAACTACCCTATTATTTTAGTTAGAATCTATTATTTTTAATTTAAATTATAGAATTAAGTTTCTAAAATGTTACAATAGTACTTTGATTCATTCCTTAGTAAAACTGACAACAAATAATGCACATATTAATATATATTTTTTCTTGTATTAAAATTTCATCATTAATGATAAATTATATCACATAATACAGGTTCAGTAAAAAGAAAAATGTTTTTTTATAAACTAAAAAAATGTTCAATAATAACTACATCGTGTAGTATGAATCTTTTGTGAAAGGAGTAGTTGAATATAAAAAAAAAGGTAAGAGAAAGAAACAATTAAGTAGTAACAAAAGTGACCAGCTATGACTACTTTGTTAACGCATCTCATTCAACCAAAACTATTCTTCATTCTATTCATTCTCACCCACCCAAACCAATTATTGCTTCTAAGAATTGACGACAAAACTCCACCTCCAATCTCTTTCATTCTCTAACAACCATTTTCAATCACCTTTTCTCCCAGTAAATAAATAAACAAACCCAGGAAAAAAAAAAGTCAAAAACTAAAAAACTTCCTAAACAAAACCACACACATCACATTATTAATATTAATAATAATAATAATAAAAATATCCATTCTCTCTCTTTCTTTGTCACAATGCAAAACTCACCGACGGTCGTCCCAGCTCCACCGCCGCGCCCCAGCGTTCTCCCCTTCCCGCCGCCCTCCCCGTTCGAAGGCTCCCCCAACTCCGCCTTCCAGATCACCGTCCTCCCCTTGCCACCACCGCCGCCGTTTGCCACTTCTCCTAGCTCAGTTGATCTCTCCCCACTCGAGTTCCTCCTCGCGCTACTCGCCGTCGTGACCATCCCGGCACTAATCTACACCTTCATCTTCGCCTTCGGCTGCCCCTCGCGCAGCCGCCGCCGGGAGCCCTCCGCGGGCGCGCCATCAGTCGCGTCGGAAGCATCCCTCCACGACGTTGAACTCGCCGCCTCCGCCGGCGGCGTGAAGTACCGGAAAGAAGCACACGCGAAGGAGATTGGTGGCGAGTGCCCGGTGTGTCTGTCGGTGTTCGCCGACGGCGAAGAAGTCCGGCAGCTGAGCGCGTGCAAACACTCGTTTCACGCGTCTTGCATTGACTTGTGGCTTAATAACCACTCCAATTGCCCGATTTGTCGTGCCACCATCGCGGTCGCCGCCACCAAACCCAACGGTGATTCGAACGAGAGTCACCGTGAGCGTGACGAATCTATGGTTTGATTTCTTATTTTTTATTTTTTTCTTAAATATGAAGTTTTTAAAATGTTCAATTATTACCCCATAGTAGTTGAGTACAGAGTTTGTTAGTAGTTTCCACTTTTTGTGGCAGTTGAATTAAGAATGTTGGGTAATGACCGTAGTTTGATATGGGAGGGTGAGAGTTCAGAGGAAGATTGAATTGTAATGTAATGTAATGAAACTTGTGTACTATAGGAAACCACTAGCTTAAAATGGAATGAAGATAGCTGCGAAATTTCTTTGGGATTCGACCTAATTGTCCTAATTTGGCAAACTGTTACTGTGAAATGTTCTGTGCCTGGGTTTTCTTGGATCATGTATAGCCAACAAGGTAACATTTTGAACACGATGATTTTTAATAGGATAAGAGGAGGTAGTGTAGACAACAGGTCCTCCAATAAAAAGAATTTAAAAAGGCAATAAACTTTTAAAACGGTAAATGCATACGCCAATCTAAAGAATTTGCTGCAAGATAGTCATAAGAATTTGAAAAAAAAATAAATTGAATTGAGTGATAATACGAATATGAAAATATTAATTAAAGGATTTGGTTAAGAATGTTATCCGTAAAAACTAAACTCGAATATAGATTTAGATTTGTAAGTTTGGGTATTGAATAACACCTAACATTATAACACATTAAATGTTTTGATGTTGAGTCTAATAATTTCTGTGAAGACTTTTTTGAGTATAGTAAAACCTAAACCAGAAACGTTGGCTAATAAAGTGAAATTAGAATAAAACAAAGAAGATAAGATTGATTGGGAAAGCATGGGAGGGAGAGCATGTGCAAATGCAGTAACCACCAAGAAGACATTATAACGTGTGGCATTGCTTTCAATTTACAATTCCCAAACCTTGACAACTTCAATTTGTATTAAGCAACCACTTGGAAAGGAAGTACGAAGGATGAGGGAAATTAACTTGTCAAGCCAATTCATTTGTTTAAGTATGTGTATGAAAAATAGTTTTTCCTAACATATAAAACCTAAATATTATGGGATACCTTGTTCTAAAAAAAGTTTTTTTTTTTTTATTTCATTTTGAGGTGTATTTTTTAAATGCATGCATATGCATTTTTTTTTATCACATATAAATTCAATTCTTAATGTTGATATGGTATAATTGTTATTTAAATTAGATTCAAAACATTTTCTACATATATAATAATATATTTGAATTCGATGAGGAAAATCACTTTACTTTTCTTTTTTGTGAACCAATCTGGTGTTTTTATTTTGGGCCAAACATATTTTGTGATTGGATACTCATGCTTGAGTTTGGACTCTGGACCACGAGTCTTGAGACCAAAAGCCTAATTATGGGTCATGACTTTGGTCCTAGTGATAATATGAAGTTTCTAGGCCTTTTCAGTACAAATATAATCTACTTTCCTTTCATATAAACTATAGACATTTTTTTTATTTTGTACATAAACTAATTTAACTTATGAAAAAAATTATATTATTTTTTCTTCTCATTTTTCTTGTTAGAAATTGGTCCAAAATCAAAAGAGGAAAAAGGTTTAACATAAGATCATAGTTCCTAAAAAATTGATAAAGTCACGGGAGATGGACGTTATATTAGTTTTGTTAATCTATTTGGACAAGTTTCTTTATAAATACTATTTAGGAGAAAAAAAAATTCAAAGAAATTATACAAAAATAACTTTTGTGGGATAAAGGACTTTTCCCTTCCTTTCTTTGTTGATTATTTGTATTTTCTTTTTTAAGTTGGGAGAGTGAAAAGTAAAATAAATTTTTGACAATAACTAAAATGGAAAAAGATAATATTATTGAAATTATTCTGTGTGAGACATGTTAATATATTGAAATTATTATCAAAAGAAAGGATAAAATGATAATATATAATTAATTATAATGTGTTCATCATTGGACCGTTAATTCATCTCAATATAAAATGTATAGATATATGTTTAATAGTAAAGATATGTGTTTCTATTTTGTTAATTTGAGACGCACTTCCGACAGCTTAATTCCTAAGCAAAAGTCCATTATTTTGCTACATGATCTGACACATTTCCAGTGTTATTTATATATATACATAATCCATATCCATATCCTTGCATGATACATTCCCCAAATTTTTAAACAAACAAAACGTGCTTTCTTTTCTTTCCACAACATTCCATCAATCATTCATTACATATCCATTAGAAATCACTTTGTAGCCAACCTGGTGCGGCGCTAAGGATTCAAATACTTTGTAAACAGTTTATTTATTGCAGGAACTAGAGTCTCCTAGATGAATCTTCATATTTGGGATGTTATTTGATTTGAAATTTTAATTTATCATAATTTATTTTTTTAAAATATTTTAATGAATTAAGAGAAAAAAAAAAATATATATATATATATATATAAATAAAAATAGTAAAACAGGATAAACTTGTTGAATTGAATTAATAATTTTAATCTATTAATCTATTTTACTTGATTATAATTAATTATTTTAATATATAAATTTAATAATTTCTTTAATTTAAATAATAAAAATAATAATTAATAAATAAAATTTTAAAAGTATTTATATAATTAAATATATATTTTAAAAAATATATATATATAAAAATATATTAACGAACTGATGTGTTAGTTTAAATTTTGACGGGACAGATTAAATCTATGGTCCATCTTAATAAGTCAACTTATTCTAATTATTTTTTTATAGACTAAAAAAAAACTAACCCATTTTATCTTATATATATATATATATATATATATATATAAATTATCAATAATCTTAATTTTTAAATAATATAAAATTCAATAACAGTCTTAAATAGTATATAACTCAACAAGCTACAACTTTATTCATTAACAGGTGGTTAAAACTTTGATTTCTGTGTATAAAATATATTTCTTTTGTTCTTTGACGGTTGTATTCTTCCGTACAATAGAGATAAATTTCATGACTTTCATCAGACAAGTTTTGATGTAAAACAGCCGATCATTTTTATTATATAGATAGTCTATAACGGATGACAAAAATAATAAAATCTATAAAATTAATTATTTATCATGAAAATATTTACATAAACTAGTTTATGATAAAATTTTGAATTTAGAGTCAATTTTGTGTAAGATGATATTAGTAATTTACAACACTTTCAGCCATCTTCAATTAATTAAGCTGATTTTTTTAATTTAAAAATATTTATCTCATCTCAAAATAATTAAAATTTTAATATGTTAAATATTTATTCATTTAATGGGTGATTTCCTGAAAATAATTAAAAATAAACATCTCCATGATTTATTTATTTAATATATTCATTTCATTTTAACTAAGATTTTTTTATATTATTATAAAAATATTTCATATTAATAAAGAAATATTTGAATGTTGAACTTCTAATTTTATTTTTACTTTAATTAAAATCTAGAAAAAAATTAACTGTTATGGTGTTTCTTAATTAAGGCAATAGTTATATTTTTTTATTAAACTGTTATTGTACGGTAGTTATCTACGTCAATATGGGGAGGAAAGAAAAAGAAAAGAAAAGAAAAGAATGAGTTAGTTGAATGAGGGAGTGTATATAGTATTTTTTTTTTAATTTTATATAAAAATGGCCTAGAAAGCTAAACAAGGCCTGATAAAAAGAAAAAGAAAACCTGGGCCAACATTAGTCCAATGGATCAACTAGCAAGAAAAGTAAAAGAAATAAAAAAATTCAGTATCTTTTTAATGAAAGGTTTGCTTCTAATCAACTTTAAAATAGTTTTTTTTTTGGTTAATTATATACAAGTTCTACTAAAAAAGTCCAAAAATATTATTTTAAAGTAGCATTGAAAGAGAGAAAGAAAATTGAAATAATATAAATTTAAATTATTCATATATAATATGTAAATTAATGAAAAAAAAAGGGTATCCAAATGCATGGTCCTCGCAGCTATGTGATGTTGAGGCAGTGTGTGGACATAACAGAGATGAACTTCTTAAGTGAGTTTTGGTTTTGGATATCGAAACATTTTTATTGAAAATAATAATAAAATAAAAGAAGACATTGTAGATATTGGGTTGGTTGAAACTATGTAACCCAAGTTAGTATGCCATATTCCACATATGAGTTTGAGTCGATGTTGTTCATGTTGTGGCGCGTGAGATGCAAGGATGGATGTTTGCATGGAAAAAAGAAAGAGGAGTGGGGAGGGGAACAGACCTGACCAAGAAAAGGTTCACTCGGTCGGGACACACTAAAGCACAAATGGACACCTTTTCTTTTTTTCAACCCAATATTAAAAAACTAAGATTGAAGCACATTATTTCTTTACCATAATCTATTCTTCATTCACCAATAAATAAATCTTATATTTTATAATAGAATCATAATTAAAGTTAGCTTTGGCCGTTCCACACCAAATTGCTAGTATGCATGTATGGCTGGCTGGCTAGGCTGGTCATAACATGACATATCAGACTCAATACTTAGCTTTTTTCATGCACAAGGAGGGGAGAGAGGCACTAACAATATCTCTTTTTTCTAAGCACAGTACTTACAGGGCATCAAAAAGAAGCTTATGGGTTAAGAAACATCGCCTTCTCAAAATCCTGAAAAGCAATAAAACAAAAAGAGTGCCATCGGGGGAAATGAACAAGAAACTAAAATTATATATAAATACTCAAAAGCACCTCCTTTATTTTTGCTTCTCATTACCTCCTCTCCCAAACCCTCCCCTCTCTTCTTTCTTTCTTTTGCTTTCCCTCTTTTCCTTTCTCTCTTCTATGCTCAGCTCAACCACACACACTCACTCCCTCTCTCTCTCTCTCTCTCTCTCTCTCTCTCTCTCTCTCTCTCTCTCTAACTGTTTGATGTGATTCTCTCCACTATTGCCTCCCAAAAAATTAAACCATCAACCTTTACAAAAGAGAAAGCTCCAAGAGGAACCATGGTTTATACTTCCATCCCAGCATATATTGATCCAGCCAACTGGCAGCAACAGGTAAAAAAATTGAAGGGTTCTTCAATTTGGTTCTTTCTCATTTAATTTCTTTGTTCAAAAGGCAAATTTCAAAAGATAGATATTCTTCCTACACTTTTGTTTATACCCTCTCCTGAATATACCACATATTTGATTTCTTTGCTCCTCCAACTTTATGTTACTGCAGCAACCAAATCACCAGCAGCAAGGCAACAACACTGCTGCCAGCTCCCACCTTATTCTTCCACCACCTATACAACCGCCGCCGCCTCCGCCGTCACAACCTCATGGACTCGGCGGTTCGATGGGTAGTGCTACTGCCGGGTCCATCAGGCCAGGTTCGATGGCGGATAGGGCCAGGATGGCCAACATACCCATGCAGGAAGCTCCACAAAAGTGTCCAAGATGTGACTCCACCAATACAAAGTTTTGCTACTTCAACAACTACAGCCTCTCTCAGCCCCGCCACTTCTGCAAGGCCTGCAGAAGGTACTGGACTCGTGGCGGGGCCTTGAGGAACGTCCCTGTTGGCGGCGGCTGCAGGAGGAATAAGAGGAGCAGAGGAAGCTCCGGCAGCAGCGCCAGGTCTCCGGCAAACTCCGATCGCCAAACGGCGAGTGCTGGCTCCGCTTCCACAACCAGTGGCTCTTCTTCTGCTGACATGGTGGCAGGCCTTGGCGGCACCGGAGTGCCTTCGTCTCTTAGATTCATGGCTCCATTGCATCATCTTGGCGATCACCACCTTGGTGGTGGTGGTGGAGGAGAAATAGGGTTAAACTATGGCTTGAACTATGGCGCAATTTCAGGTCCAATGGGAGGGATAGGGGACTTGAATTTCCACATAGGAAGCGCTTTGAATGTTGGTGGTTCTGTGTTGTCTGGTTTGGACCAATGGAGGATGCCACAAACTCACCAATTTCCCTTCTTGTCTGGTTTGGATGCTTCCTCATCACATGGGTTGTACCCATTTGATGGTGCTAGTGGCAGTGACGGCTATGGTGGCAATCCCATCAAGGTTTCAACTTCTGGGTTGATGTCTCAGCTTGCTTCTGTGAAAATGGAAGATAATAATCAGGAGCTTGGTATGCCTAGACAGTTCTTGGGTGTTAATAATAACCCTAATACAAATGAGCAATATTGGAGTGGTGGTGGTGGTGGTGCCACTTCTGCTTGGACTGATCTTTCTGCTTTTAGCTCTTCTTCCACTACTAGTAACCCACTATAGAATTTTCTGCACTCTTGTGAAGTTTCTGGCTTTTGGTTCTTCAGTTTATTTTGACAAAATCTCAATCAACTCAGTTATAATTAGCCCCACGTGAAAAGCTTCGAGGATGGTGAAGTACTTTGCTTTCTCTTAATATCAAATCAAAACCCTAGGGATGTTAGTTTTTGTATTCCCCCCACGTTTAATCTTTATATGTTGTTATTTCTTCTTCCTTTTCTCTCTCTTTCTTAGGTTTAGGTTGTTTTGTATGGGAAGGTTTTACTCTATATGGTGAAATTATGAGTTCAAGAGAATGAATATTGCAGTAGCTGATCAATGATTTCTGATCATTGGTCACCAGTACCACTTGATTGCCTCATATATTTATGGAAAATATAATCCGTTTTCTAATGGTGAAGAGTGCTGAATTATGTAAGGTTTCATCTTCACTTAATTAACGATTTGGAGGAAAATGTGCTGCAGTGATAATAGAAACTTCATCCCCAAATCGAGGATTGTGAATGATCTCAGTGCGTTTCACATTTTGACATATCGTTTTAATTAATCAAAATCATGAATCCGATGGTTATATAGTTAAACTGAGCTCATTGGTATTGTCCTGAAGAGATTCTGGAATTTCCTAGTGAATGGATAGTAAAGCAAGAGTGGTGGTCAAAGAGGAATTAATAAACTTAGGTTGTCTTTCTCATTGTATACATTCCTCATATATGTTTTGTAGTCGAAAAGTGTGATTTTCTTCCTTTAAAAAATAGATTTTCCGTTATTATTTTTCCTTTTAGAAAGTTCTTTGTAACGACTACAGGAACTTTTCCTTGATGTTAATACCATTATCCCTTTTAATATAATTCTCTAAAAAGATTTATCTTGCAACTTAGTGTGGCTATTTTATTCATATTGTAGAACAATCTTTCTCTCCTTCTCGTTTTGTTTGGTTTAATTTTTGGCTCTTTAAACGCTTTTCTCATCATCCAAGATAATACCAACTTTGAATGCTTTTATTTTGTTTGACGGGTTCACTTTTTCACACAGCTAAATATTAGATCAATGAAAATAAACAAAGCTTCTCTAAGCATACCAGAAAAGTTTTTAAGTATTATGTAGCTTTTTATTCTAGTTAATTTGAGATTTATTTTATTGTTACCCCTTTAAGAGCATCACTAACCAGTATTTACAAGGTGAGAGATCTCATAAATTATTACATTAAATTTCACATCTTACTTGATGTGAGACAGCAAGAACTTCTTAAACCAACGCAAAGAAAGACACTTAATTTGTTGACTAATGTACATGGCATGCATATGAAAATTTGCATGTTTCTTTTCTTTACCATATTTGGAGTGTGAACGAAGAATTTAAATAGAAAATCTAGGATTTGAATAGTAAACCTACATATCCTCTTTGTTCAACAACCATAGAAACAATTTGAATTAGGCCTTGCTTGGTTATAAGGATTACTTCAGAGTTAATTATACTCATTCAATTATTTGACCAACCAGTTGAAGCACTATTCAGAGACCCCATATTTGGGACAACTCTAACGACCTCCTAAAAACTCAAAAGGTGGTGCTTGTCATATTGTTGGAAATGTGAACCCAATTTGGAATTTTCTGTTCCACTCATGAACAGGGATATATATTCTAGGGCAGTTCTATTCTCCAAACCCAGACATTGTTCTAATTTCCTTCTATTTCTTTTACAAAATGAAAATGATTGTGATGTCTCATCTTGCGCAGCCATACCTAGAAGTAGCTTCACTGAACAAAGACGAAGTTTTAGGTTTTTTGTTTTTCTTTTTGGAAAAACGATTCTGATGTTTCATCTTGCGCAGCCAAAGCTAGGTAGACATAGCCCGAGTGAAGAAATTTAGTACTTCGAGAAATTGCAGCGGCTATATTATTATTCATGAATGATTAAATAAATTTTCCCCAAGGAGATTCAAATCTGAGGTTCCAAAATTATGCATAAAATTTTGAATACTATAATATAAACAAATCCTCCTTGAGTTTAGTGACTTCCAACTCTCCACAGAGAATCTGTTAGTTGTTATCTGATTAAAAAAATGATCATATTTGTGCATGTGAGTGTCCTTTTCTAAATGGTAATTGATTTGTCCAACGATAAACGTTGGTTGAGGAGAGAGAGAGAGAATGATTTTGTGATAATATGTAAGAATGTACTTGATATTAAGAGAAGAGAATGGACTGTGTAAAGTGTAAACTTTGGCTAATTATTTAGCGGTTTTGGTGGCAGAGACGCGGAGAAAGAGCATCAAAAGACGACAAAATGGCCACATAGAAACCTTAGAATCATAGTATTCTTCGAGATTAGCATCACCAATAATCACCATGTTTATGATGGGATTTTAGGTATGTGAAAATCCTCAGCTTCCGTTAAACCTATCAGTACTGTTAAATTTCACCTGTCATACCTTCCACCCAATATATTCCCACTAATTTGACCAAACAAACATTACAACAATTTACTCTATTACTTAGGTAGAAGGTAAATTTTCAATTAAAATATATATAAAAATATGTTATGATTTGCAATCGCACAGTTTTACATAAAACATTATGCTCTGTTGTTTATGTTTATTACATATAGCTATTGTGTACTTTATCTCTCAGAACTCTTTCTAATATTATGTTTAATTCAAGTCTATGAGGCATAGGTTTATTACATTTATTTTCATTCTTCTGCATCTTTACAATTTTATTAAAAATAACGTTGTGAATTATGAAGAATATATATAAATTATCTAGCATAATTAGAATTTTAAACTTTTAGTGGGATAAAAACATTATACATTTTTGAGAATATTTTTCAACGCTGATAACTCTATATATATCTTTTAAGATGTGTAAAATTGATATCGGTAAGTCTTTCTAATACATTTTAATAAAATGTAACATACATAAATCACTATAAGAAATGTTATAAGAAATGTTAGTTAAAGAAAATTTATTAATAATAGTGTGATGTATGAATAACATATATTGAATTACTACTCTAATAGATTTATCTATTATCATTTTTAGTGCATGGACAATGAATTTATGGAGTACACTGAGTTTTTTTTCTCTTTTACATAATAAGTTTATCATAAATTATCATACATATAATAAGATTATTGAGTTTTATAATAATTATTTTAAAGTCATATAAATGGTAAGTTTTATTGGATTAACACTAAAAAAAACGGTAACCGGAATAAAAAAAAAGTGCATTCAGCTATGATTTTTTATACAATGTCAACTTAAAAATTTTCTACATATTGATTTCCTGATAAGTGTTGTTAAGGACACCCCTTATTATGATCCTAAATTTTGTTTACAATATTTGATTAAAAACAGTATTGTCCAATGGCATTTGAAAAAAGCAAGAATTTATGTAGATGCATCATTCCCTATATATAGTAACCCAAAATATAGAGCAGTAAGCAACATAAACACAAGGTTGTAAAAGAATGTTTGTCTCTGTCCCACGAACTAGCGGAGTCAAAAAGCGCAAAGATTTTAGCAATCTCTAATTTGATGCGTTGTTATTACCACAAAGTCACAGGCTCAGCGACACAAGCTGCTACATGCGAATGCAATGTCTGGACAATCTGACCAATTCGCAGAACGTCACGCGCTAAACGCGTGGTGCATGAGGATTACCAAAAGAAAAAAATTATTACAACCATTGTTTTACTGTAAGATTGTTACTTAGTTTCCTTAATTTCATTTACGAGGTAGGTTCATGAGACTCTTTTAAATTTGATATTAAAGATAATTTATATATATTATTTTCTGAACTTATAATAAAGTCTTTTAAAGATAAAATAGTAATAAGTACAAATTTTAAAAACGAATAATATATCAAATATGAGAATTTATCTTAATAATATTATTATTAGCGAATAAAAGATCAAGATATTTTTACTCCTAAATAAAATATTAACGTCTTTTATGGGATCGTAACTAGAGTCTCACTCCATACATAATCCTTAGTTATCGATTGGATAGTTTATATGCATCTTCTCTCTTAACCCACTGAGACGTTTTTTAAGAATAAACCGTGACGGACAAGAGCTCCAAAGCGAACAATACCTCGAACACGAACCCTTAGTTATCGATGGGAGAACTTATGTTCTGATACGTTTATAGGTCTCATATAACTTAAGAGTTAAGACTAAGAGTAATTTTTATACACCCTCCTCTCTTAACCCACCTAGACCCCTTTTAAGCGTGACGAGAAATGTTTCAAAGTGGGCAATACCCCTTAATCCTCGACTCGGGAACTTATGTTCCGGTAAGCTCGTGAGTCTCACATTACTCTAAAGTAGAAAATACCTCGAACATGAGAATTGACCATAACGATATTATCATAACAGACATGAGGTCGATACTCTCATTCCTAATAGAACATTGACGTCTTCTGTGGACCAAAAGTAGAGTCTCGCTTCATACATATCCCTTAGTTCTCGACTGAGGGACTTATGCTCCGACTTATGAGTCCCACATTTTTTAGGAGTTGAGGCCAATAATAATTTATTACCTTCTTTTTTTCAACCCACCTAGATATTTTTTAAGGACAAAATCGTAACGGATGAGAACTCTAAACACAAATAATATCTTAAACATAAAAATTGATCTTAACGATGTTATCATAATGAACATAAGATTCAAACACTCTTATACTGAACAATTATAATAAGCAATAGGGTTGTAAAATCTCAATGCATTTTGTTATCTGCAAATTGTAAAAAACAGAAAAATTTGCCACTAACAAGCAACTGATTTTAATCGTTACAGTTTTAAGAAAATAATTTTATTCTTAAACTTAATGTTAATTATTGGTTTCAATACATTAAAATAAACACAAATCTTCTAAATTATTCTTGAACTATATGTATTGAGAGATTGTAAATATGTTTATTATAAAATATTAGAACCATTCTAAATATAACTTTAGAAATATTTATTTGAAACTTTATAATTTTAAGTATATAGCAACTCATACTTAGTTGATTTTAGTATATTTCAATTAAATTATAAGTATAAAGGCAAAAAAAAAAAACAATGATTTTTCCATCAACTAACATAATACTCCCTCTAATTTTATTATAATTGTCATTTTTATAAGTTTCTTTTGCTTTATTTTATTTTTTATATAAGTCTAATTAATAATTAACTAATTTTATATTATCTCATGATGTGAATGTCCAAGTCAGATATTTAATTTTAGACTTTGATTAAATGATCTCAAATTATTTGTGGTATCATGATAGAATGTTTATCAGTAAAGACACTGGCAACAAAGAAAATTTTAATCATATCCTCGTTGTATTAAATATGAATACAATCAACGAAAAATGTTGGTACTACAGTAGTTCAATATTTGGATCCATAAACTAAGAATAAAAAAATTATCGTTTATTTGAATATAGTGTTGATGGTCTTACATGAGTTATATCAAAATATTCTGAACTGGTGTCATAAGCCCCACATATTTTCCTTGTTAAACAAAAACTTTAAATACCTCTTTGTTAAAAAAAGAAAGAGAGAGAGAGATAAATTTATCGTTTAAATAGCTCTATTCAACTCAAATAAAATATCTTTTATAAAGAGATATTATAGTCTTTAAAAAATATATCAATCAAAATAATAATTAATACTTTATAAAATGTTTACTTAACACATCCAAACATGAATTTTAACATAATCATTGTATAATTATAACAAATAGAAAATTATAAAAAATTCTTTAAGCAAGAAATTTAAAAACCAAATATAACAAGAATCAACGGGAAATGTTGAAAGTGAAACTGATTTTTATATATATATTTTTTAAATAAGGTCATGTGCTGAAACTATGTGGATGAAAAGTGATCAAGAAAGAAAATCCACTAAAATAACCAATAATTAAAAAATTCCTTCTTTATGTTTTATCAATAGCATACTTGTGAAGAAGCAATTCACAATATCCTTAAAAATTTGGTCTCAAAGGAATAAATGTATTTTTAAAAATGGTAAATTTGATGCGGAAGTAGAATTTAGTAAAGCGAGTGCAAACTTCACTCCTTGGTGCGCTAGAGACTGGGATGGAGCAAGCCTAGCAAGTTCCGATTGGTTTTATGAACCGGTAAGATGTATGAGACTAATTGCCATTTAGTTTCTCTTTTTTCTGAGCTGGCTGGTATATGTCTTTTCAGGCTAAAGTGTGTAATCATGCCACAATGATGATGACTCATATAAGAAGACGGTGAGAGGGAGTATCCGAGTGCTACAAGGTTTTTTTCTCTTGTTGTAAACTTTCTTAGTGTCATCATTATACCCGAAGCTAGTTCTCTTAGGCACCGCTGGGGTAACTGAACCTGTATCTTTGAACTTTCGTTCTAGTGACCCAGCAGGGTTTGTTTTATTTCGTTCATCTAGCTTCTTTTAGTTGTATTTGGGTTGAAGTACCCCTTTGTACTTCTATTAATTTTATTCTTTGTTGCCGATCAAAAAAAAAAAAAAACAATATCCTTAAAAAACATTTACAATGCAAGACTTTTATTTAAAACCTCACAAATGTTTTTGTTTTACTTTAAATGAGTTATATCATGTTATATCTTTTTTATTTATACTTCAAATTTTTACAATTTAAAATTTAAATTTAGTTATTAAAATATTATATTTTATTATAAAATTAAAGTCTTATTATATTAAACCTATAGTGATTATTTTTAAGATATTTTTATGTTTTTGGGTTGAAATGAACGAGAGAAAATTAATGTGAGATTTTAATTTTAAAAGAGTTATATTTAAAGAATTAGGATAGATGATTTGATTTTTTTTTATATATATATATATATTTTGTATATGAAAAATGATCTTAAATATTTTATTATAACAAATATGAAATAAAGATATTTTTGTTTTTAAATGAAATATTGATATTTATTATGAAATTAATCTCATTTTATTTTTATATTTTTCATTTTCAATTATGAGTTATATTATGATATATTTATAAATTTATTATTATTTATGAATTAAAATTAATAATAATTTATATATATATATATATATATATATATATATTTCTTTTATATATATAACCGGATACCTGATTCATTTATGGAATATATATAATTTAAATTCAATTAGCATAAACTAAATAATGAATAAATATATAAATGACGATGGGAGACTATCGAGTACTTAACGGTTGAGAACGTAATTATTTTTCCTTAAAGAAGAGGACAAGGGACTGTTTGTTTGTCAGTCTGTAAGTTGGACCGTATGAGAGAGAGAGAGGGGACCTGAGCGGCAGTTACTGAATCTGCATGCACGCCCTTCCATGCAGGCACAGCATGGAGATTTGTGGCTTTCAACATTCTTTCATTCATTCATTTGTTGTTAACGAGGAGAACATAGACGCACATTGCATGCGAGCCTGCTCCTCTCTTCTTTTGTTTTGTTTTAATGTTCGTAACCTCCATTCCATGCACCCTTCCTCATCCATTTCTTCTCTGCATCACATCACATCAGATCTCACTGCTTTTTCTTTTTCTCTCTTTTCTATTTTTATTTACACTTTCTTTTACATTTTCTTTTAAACAATATATATGCTTACCTCAATAATATATCACTTCAATAATGTAGTATGACAGCAAGATAGAACAAAACTGTATGTATTTGTGGCTGTGCATGTGTAATATAAAATGGAAAATATTATTGTTTCACACAACTAAAAGATGGTGAGTACTACGAATACTTTTGTTAGCTATAACACTATTCAAATTTAAATTATTAGTATCTAGATGTTACAATTTTACATTATACTAATATTTAGCTATTGATATAAATATATATATTAATCTTCCATGATATAATTAATTTTTTATAGACTAATATAGGACATATCTTAATGTACACCAATTTTTTTCTAGCATATATCCTATTAATTTCCATTGTTATATTAACCAAAACTAAACCAATACCCAACCATCGCTAAATTATATTTTTATAGAAATTTTCTCTCTAAGTCAACTATGATTTTCATATACTCATAAAAAAATTATTGAAGGAACATTTTTTATATGTCTGTGAAATGAAAAATTAGAAGGACCATTTTTTAATAATAAAACTATTTTTTCTATTAATGAAATTAAGCATAATGTAGCAGAGACTAGTATCTAATCTACATTGTGTACTTGAATTTTTATTTTTTTTAACCCTTAAACTTAGCTCATGTATTTAAAGCCCAGTTTGAGAAGAATGACAAGTGGCAGTACAACAAAACCTGTCACATTCACACTCACACTCACATGCGAATTGGTCAGTAGGTTTTAAAGTCTAAGTGCGAAACTTTAAAGCGTTAACTGAGCTTAAAGTCAAGATCTAATAGTAGAAAAATTTCAAGAAGAAAAACTGTGGATACTTTTTACAACTAATAGTTGTAAAATATAATATACATAGTATAGGAAAAAAAAATTCAACCTATATATGTACATATAAATAGAAATCCACAACAGGTGAATCACTACAAAATAATTTAAAATAGGCCTGAGTGCATACAAACATAATATAAATATTAAATAAAATGTACATTTAACAACTACTTTACAATATTATAAACCTTATTAAATATAAATTTTTCCTTTCTGTTCAGCTGAGTTCATCGCATGCTGGTTTTTCTATATATAGCAAAATCTCACACAGAATATATGGTGGTGGCCTGGTGGGTTGGTTTCTGGATTTTATACTTTATCTGATTATGCTGAAGCATCAACCAGATTATACTTTACTTTTCAATTTTTTTTTTTGTCATAACTAGCTATACCAAGATGTAATGTATTAAGTAGGTTTTATTGTAATGTAACATTATAAAAATGGTGGCCGAAGGTGCAGATCAATCTCTTAGAAACTTCTTTGAAACATCCTTGTGATTAAGGGCGAAAGGTACTGTTGTAAGGATAATATGTGAAGGTAGAATAGAATGTACTTTGTGTGCATATGAAATTTGAAAATGGGATTGGCCACTCTGAAAGAAAGGAATCTTTGTTAGGGTGTTTGGATTCGCTTTTGATAGAACCAAGGAGGTCTTACCAAGAAGGAATAAAGCACATTCAAAACCAGGAAAGACATAAAAAATCTCACTCTCACTCACCCACGGTTGGTCGGTCCCTGAGTCAGTAACTTATATATTAAGTATAATATATATATATATATATATATATATATATATATATATATATATATATATATATATTATTTGTTTGTTTGTTAAACAGTGATGTCCAGTGAGTTCTTGACTGTTGAGGGTGGACTTACAGAGCATTCAGTATAATGGGATTAGAACTTGGAGGGGACAAGTTGATCCCGAAATTGTCGACTTTGAAATTCGGGTATCATTCTCTATCAATTTTCAATATTCTATTGTACTCAAATCCTGTGAGGTAACTGAATGAAAGTGTAAAATCTAGTACCAAATCAAAATACTACAAAATAACCAAAATACATTTTAGTAATTGTTGGAAAATGTTTAATAAAAAGTTAGATATGATTTAATATGTATTAATATTATAAAAACGTATTGAATACTTTTATTTCAAAACTACAAAAATTATGAAAAATTAAACCTAATTATAGTTTTAGTCTCTAAATGTTTGAATTAGTTCAATTTTAGTCTTCAAGTTTAAAAATGATGTTTTAAATTTGAAAAATATAAACTTAAGTGAAAAGGTTAATATAAGCATATTTAAAAAGAATTATAGGGCTCCGAATTCCAAGCTAGAAATGGATGATTGTACTATTTGTCTTGGTATGTATGTATTGTTGTGTGTGTGCGTGGGCAATATTTCACCCTAGTTGTTGATAGGTGATACCCACATGCACAAGTTTGGGTATCTAGATATATGGTGCCTCTTTCTCTTTCGTTTTCTCTAAATATGTATTGCAGCTTTCACTTTTGTAACGTCCTTGTTATAAATATTACTCTTCTCTCTCTCTAAGATCAGTGGTGATCTTCATGAACACATCGTGGCAAAAGAAGGAAAGGCACTGAGATTCCTAGCTGTTCTGAGAGCTCTCACGTTCCCCCACATGTTCTCAATCATAAACATGAACCAAAAATTTTGATTCCCTGGCCCTTATTATCATTAGTTAATTAATTCAATACACATATTTCTTACACCAAAGAAAATCATTGAGAACATGGCTCCACTTGAATGGACCCCATTACTACAACATATGCCACACCCTCCTTATAGTTATAGCCACTTTCCTTAATTGATCAAGGCACGAGGTCCCCTATTCAACTTCTTATTGCTTTCCCAGAGCAACCACACTCCAATTGGAAATGCAAAAAGAAACTACAAGATAGGATAAGAGAAAACCATTTCACCACTTCACCTTTTCTTCATATATATTTCAGATAAATGTTCACAACAAAACGAATATAGAAAATTAATACGCATTTACTAGTAACATTATTTTATGATTAGCTCACCCTGTTGCATATATGTTGATGAATGGTCCTTATTAGGTACTGCATGATAGACTAAAAAGGGGGAGAAATTATTGACCAAAGAGATTCTTTGTCACATTTCTACTTTTTATGTGAGCATATATGTATGGCATCCAATGAAGCATCTAACGGCCTCATTTCAATATTCCTTCTTCTGAATTGAAAAAAGAAAACATTAATTACGCGCTGAAAGTTATATATAATGTGAAAATGTTTATAATTAATCATTGAATAATTCTTTCTTCAAACATGGATGATTAGGTTAGCTTTGGTACGAATACTTTACTTAAAACTAATGAAACACACAAAATGCACGTGTGTGAGTGTAGAAAAAGTAAGAATGTCTCTTATTTAAAATGGATTCATACATAATAAAGTCGTTTATTCCCTGCATAAGCATATGATTGAAATCGAATTTTAATTAAATTTGAAAATGATGCATGGAATTAACTGTTTAGGCTTCAAACCCGATCAACATAGAAACATTAGGTTAATTATTGTTTTAAAATATTCTGCATTATCTTACTGTGCGCACTAGTGAACTCACTTTTAAGGGTCAAAATTTACGTGGTTGTAATGAGTCGATACCAGATAGAGAAGAGCAGAAAAAGAACTAGAAACAAGAGGAACTATTTTTTAATATTAAAAAATTAACAAAAACTAAAAAAAAAAAACGTTTCATTTTGCTAAATCAAACATGTAGTCAAGTCAGAGGGAATGGTTATGGTCCGAAAAAGAGAGATTGGATGCACCAAACAAATAAAAATGTTCCGTAATGGATTCAAATTAATGTGTTGACCACTTTAAAACCATAACAAAATAGGGTTCATATATACAAGAGAAGGCAATTTGCATGCATACGTGTGACTCTGCTTTTGCAAAGTGCGGTGTCGTGTTCCTCATGCAAAACAAAACAAAACAAATACATAGCACTCAATTATTTTGGTCCTTTTCAATAGAATAAACCAGTGAACATTATTTTGTTGTGGCTCTGTCAGTCTTTCAATTATGGATGACCTAAGACTCGTAATGGGAAATAGTTGAGTGTGTCTGATGTGATTTTCGGGGTTTAAATTTTGTTTGATTTTTCATGCTTTTGCATGGAATAATATATCGAAATGGATTCTTACGTGAGCAAGCACTTCATCTCAATATTATCCAATGGAATATTTATCCGTTCCGTACGTTAAGAAATAGACTGCAATAATTAATTTAAATTTTATATCACTCACTCACTGAGTCAAAGCTATGCATACACAATGAACAAGAAACAAAATAACATAACAAATATTTTTAAATGCTGATAGAAAAGTGTTTAATAATCTGAAAACCTCTTCGATTTTATTTCTTAGCAGTGGTGAGAGATATGTTTTATTTTGAGGGATAGATATTTTTGTATGTAAAGCAAATGTGTGGCTTGGAAATTTAATGCTTTCCAATAGCATGTTTCTGGGTGGACCCTTTCATATATTCCTCAAATCATTCTGGTGCATGCATGGATATAGATGAACAATATATAGTTGTTGAATTCAGATAAATTGCTTATAAAAAAAAGTATAATACAATGTTTTTTGAAGGCATTTATAGTAATACATTAATTGTTGAAGAACAAAAGAAAAATTATTTGGGATCAGTAGTTTTTCAAACATCATCTTCAAAAATAGAACCAAATTTTAAACAAAACCTCCTATGATTCTTGCTCATTTGATGAAAGATAGGGTTATGAAACATCACGAATAATTAACCGATCCGTCTAAAAGAGTAGATATTCTTAAAACAATAATAATGGATAAAGAGCTACTCAATTTTCAAAAGTTGTTCTCATATTCTT